GACGACTTTTCGAGGGGACCAAGAAAACGAAAGAGGACTCTTTCATTTTGGCGTCGGTTAATTATTTTTAGTTATGTGCGGTCGTATACTGAGAGTCACGCGTGAGAGGTGCGCATAGATAAAGACGATAAATTTTCTCTCTACGGGTTGTGTACTCCGCCTCTTTTTTTCTCTTTTATTATTTTTTTTTTCGTTGTATTTCGCTCATGATTTACAACGGATATAAAAATTAATTATTAAGGACTTAAGTTTACCGTTTACTTTTTTTAACGACTCGTTATAATACGGTTCTATGAACTTGTTTTTAACTAAATTGATGAAATTATATATATATATATATATATATATATATATATATATATGTAAATACGATTTCCGAACAGGCGTATTCTTAAACAAAATCCTTAAAACTTAATTTCAATTCGTAGAAAGATTAATATCCAGGTTACTCCATAAATCCTAAGGTTTCTAGATGCAAACGAAGAGCTGGCCAACACATCTGATTCATTAGATTGACAGGTGTTATTTTAGTATGGTTAAAGTTAAATGTATAAGTATGTACGATTTGAAAAAGCACTCCGTCCAAAGATTTTCCAAAATGTCTTTGATGCCATCTGCTATCCTAAGGGCCATTTGAAGCTCTTCACGTGTTGTTGTGGCAAGTGTGCGACGAATATTGTGTTCGACGATTCTTGCCGTATGTGATCGTGTATTATCCTGCATTAACAGAAAAAACATTTCCAACGGATATTAAAAACCTATTACTTAATAGTCCACCATTCACAGGAATTAGTATCTCTTTTAGGTGTTGGACACTGCAGATAATAACCAAATTCAACCCCAATAAGACTTTTTTCATTGAATACAACTTTATTTATTGTTTGTCATTAGCAACCTCACTATAACAATCCCAATACGATGTATAAAATCTCTTGTTGCAGTTTCTTCTCTTCGCTTGTAATTCATCATCACATTCATTACTAACATAACTGTCGCTATTATCACTTTCGATTATTAATTAAAGTAAGTCCTCTTTTTAATGCAACAAGCCGTTTTAAAAAATCAATTTCTTCAAATTTTGCAATTATGCAAAATTGATTAAGTTTTAAAAATTCGTAAAAAGTCCATTTCTTGGAATGTTAGTATGAAAATTTCCCAAAGTGTTAATAAAAGTGTCCTCCTTCCAATGAACCAACCTGTTTTGAAAAATAACTTTTAGTTTTTGAGAAAACAATATTTGAAGTTTTGCAAAAATTTTCGATGTTGCAATTTTCATCAATAATTTTCAAAATTCGCTATAAAATTAATTTCTTGAAGGATCCTTGTGGAAATATCACCAATTATTAATTAAAGTATCCTCTTTTTAATGCAAAAATCCGTTTTGAAAAATCACTTTTAGTTCTTGAGAAATAAATTTTTGAAATGATCGACAATTTTCTATAATTTTGCAATTTTCGCCGATTAAGTTTTAAAAATTCGTATAAAATCGCTTTCTTGGAATATTAGTATGAAAATTTCCCAAAGTGTTGATAAAAGTGCCCTCTTTCCAATGAACCAACCCGCTTTGAAAAATAACTTTTAGTTTTTGAGAAAACAATATTTGAAGTTTTGATAAAATTTTCGATGTTGCAATTTTCATCGATAATTTTCAGAATTCGCTATAAAATTAATTTCTTTAAGGATCCTTGTGAAAATATCGCCAATTATTAATTAAAGTATCCTCTTTTTGGAGTTGCTTCATTAGTTAAATCAGCATCAAAAAAGTTCACTTTGTATCTTGGATGCAAATAAGTTGACATATCTTATCAGGTTTCTTATTAATTTCATTTTTATTCAAATATCGTAATAATGTGGCAAAGTAGGGTATCACTTCAGAAATGCACCAGTAATTATAACCATAATGGCCGGATAGATATGTCGGATAAACGGATATCCGGAGGAAGGGGATGCCGAATATCCGGTATCCAGCTTTTCGCAAAATCATTATCCGTTCCATCACTAGTCTAAAGAAATTCCTGTCCAAAATATTACTGCATAACGTTCGCCACTCATTCGTAAACAATAGTTTTTTTCCAGTTGTCCAATTAAAGTGTTCTCAGGCAAAAGCCTTGATGGATTAAATGAAAATATCGTAAGCTTATTTTTACTTGTTATACTCTAACTAGTCAAGTTTTTTTTGCTGTAAAGAACCGTAATAGTAAGGATGATACAGCTACTAAAATTCCTTAAAATTTTTTCTGGTAAGCAAGTTCTATTTGGTGCTAGTCTTTAGCCTCCTCCCCATAACATCTCCAGCATGGTCGAAAGATTCAGGTTGACCATAGAAACATTAATGTCATAAATTGGTGCGTAGAAAATCTTGCAAGTATGGGTATTATCTTACTCGAGGTTGAGGAAATTATTTTTTAAGTGTGGTCATCATGTGATACTGCTAAAAAAGACTAGATGCTGCTGGCAGAGGGTTACACACTGCTGATAGGGGATTATAGCCTACAACTAGAAAACTAGGTATTACTGACTAAAGACCAGATAGTGCTCATAAAAGACTAGATACTGCTGGCAGAAGCCTACACACTTCTAATAGAGAGCTGGATACTGCTAATAAAAGAATAGATACTGGCAGATGATTACACATTTATCGATAAGCGACTAGATCCTGCCAATATAAGACTAGATGTTGCTGGCAGAAAACCAGATACTGCTAACGAAAGACCATGTACTGCTGAAAAATGATTAAACATCACTAATAGAAATCTAAAACAGTCTAAATACCACTGGCAGGAAACTAAAACAGTGCTAATAGAAGATTATACACTATTTACAGAAGAGTGGATAGTGCTAATAGATAACTAATTCAGTATCAACTTCTTATTTTTCCTTTCATAACGGAGAAGACGAAGCGTTATAGTTGAGGTTGAATCTCAGCTCAATCCAACCTCAGAGATTCAAGTTCGTACTTTTCTTTTCTTAACGGATGAAGACAAAGTGTCGTGATTGAGGTAGGAACTAAGGTACTGTAGCTGGTAAAGACTCTCATTTAAAGTAGATCGGAGACGAGCGGTAACACAATGTTTTTATCGCAGCGTCGTCTTGCTTATATGCTTGGCAAGAACGGGATAAAGTTAGCGTAAATGCTTCTAGTTGATGAAAATGTCGGTAATATTTGGTGTTTTGTGCATATATAAACTTAGTTGATAATCAGAATGATTGGTGAATAATTAAATTTTTTCATTGAGATTTTGCTGATTTAATTTTGATGATAATTCTGCGTAAAAATGGTTCTAATAATCATTTGGGAGGACCAACAGGACATTGCGAGGGAAAATGATTACTATTTTCGCTAACGGGTCGGAAACGGTAGCAAATCTTGGCTGTAGGATACACAAATCAAAGATTAGAGTGTTTAATATGTCTACGAAATGTTTTTGCATCAAGGTCAAGTTTTAGCCACAATTTGGCAGAAATATTTAATATTCTAACAAGAACCTTATATGTAGAGTTAGAATGAAGTCCTCAACCGGGAATCTTAGAATTTGTTATAATTTAATTACAAATGCTATTACACTATGTTTTAAACTATTTATTTTAAATGTTGCCAAAATCAAAAATCTAACGGATTTAAATCTGGTGAACGAGGTGGCCACCTCCTTGGCCAATCCACTTATTGCCAAATCTGTCATCTAAGTGTGCTCAAGTAGCATAATGTGCGGGTGCATAAAATAGCAATCTTCTAGGATTTGCAGAACTAGTTCACCAAATGCCTCTATAAACTCATTTTGTAAAAAATGTATGTAACCATCAGCTGTCAATCTCTTTGGAAGAAGAAATGGACCTGATAAGTGGTCACCTATAACTCCGGTCCATACATTATCACTGAATCACCACTGATGATGAGTTTTTAGTATTGCATCACTCAAAACGTGCGCATAATGGATATTAAAAATTCCGTTTTGTATAAATCTTGCTTCATCCGTAAATACAATGTTTATGGGAAAGTCGTTTAGTACCTACCTTTTCTTGTATAGAAAACCTAGAAAAATCACGCACCTTTTTTTTTCCATTTTCGAACCTAGGCTTTTTTTGTCTATTTTTGATCAGAGAATACGCTGGTGAAGTATTATACAATGGTTACTGGACACCTGTATATAATGATCTTAATGCGGGAAACTTAGAATGTGGCATAACTTTACCTCAAATATTCTTTTATAACTTCAAAAAAATTCATTTCTTAAATCTTAGCCATTTTGGAGAAAACACATTTTTTCTTACACATCATTTATACAGACGTTAAATGATATAGTTTATTTTTAAAAATTTATATAAAATGAACTGCTCATCCAGGAAATTTAAAATTTGGTGTAACTGATCCTCAAACGTTCTTTTATAACCTGAAAAAGTATCGTTTCTTAATCTCCAACCGTTTTAGTAAAAACATTTTTTATAATAAAATTTAGGATTTTTAAAGGATTAATAAAAACAATTTGAATTAAAATAATCAAAATTATTTATTAATAGGAATATGCTACCACCTTGTATATACAAAAAGAATCAAGAAAAATAGGCCGAAAACAAAGATCCATTCCGAAAAAAAAAAAATCATTTCATTATAATAATTCAAAAAACATTCATTAAATTTAAAAAAAAATCTTTCAAACATATTTTTGTGAAAATAAAAAAAAAATAAACATTTTGAGGTAGCGCTAAAACATAATTTATTTATAGTTATTTATAAAACTACTTAAGTTTTCTTTTAATTTAAATTAAGTTACCGTATAAAGATTTTTACGATTTTTTTTCGAGTGCAAAAAATTTGAAATTTGTAGATCCGATCTAAACAATGAGATGTGCACAATTTTTTTTGAGTCAACCGGGAAGACGGTTTTGTTGTTTTAATCAGAGTAAAAAAGGAAAATTGTTAACAAATAAAAATAATAAAAATTTATGTACATACAAAAGTGGAGGTTTCTTTTTAATACTTCGAGTTAAAAATTAAAAACAAAAAAAAATACGATTTTTTTTTAATAATTAAGTTATTGTTAAATTAAATTTATTTTAAATTGGAACAAAAAAAACTAGATCTTATGTAGGAACAAAATTGTACCACCTAAAAAACAACGTGCACATTTTTTTTAATTACAATTTATTTTTATTTTTATTATTTTATTTTTTTTTGTGAGAGTGTAAGGCGATGACACATCATCATCGGGCACCAGTCGACGCGTCATCACCCAAAATTACTTTACAATAATAGTTATTTCTCGTAGTTTGCACCTTTTTACGTAGGAAACGTGCCCTTTTCGACTTAAAACCGACAGCATTTTAAATAAATATAAAGTCTCTTTTTTGTCTTTCATTATTTTTATCTTCACTTTTTAACACTTTTTTATTTATACAAAATTATAGTACAAAAACAATTTCTTTTAAGTATTTACGAACAATCTAGCGATGATGACGGACTATTCGGGTTCATTAAAAACGGCGGACTGTGAGGATTCAACGATTGAATACTTCCACCTATCGAACCCGGTCCTGGATAAATGTCCATATCACTCATACTTTCACCACTTTTATCACCACCTTTTCCTTCTTGTTTTAACATCATCCTCCTCCATTTTGCCCGTGCATTTTGAAACCAAACCTGAAAGAACAAAAATTTTATTTTAAAAATATACAGTAAAACCTCAATATAACGAACGTCGTTAGAACAAATATCGGATATAACGAACAAAATATTTTTAAGTCTTATTTATTTATATTATCTATTTAATACATCAGTATATGTATTTAAATATAAATGCTAGTGCTCATAAACTCACAGACTCATAAACATGATGTATAAATCAAGGACGGTAGTTCTAGTTAATTCTTTTCATTGAACTAAAACTAGAACTAACACTAGACCTAGAACTAGAAATATTTGGGTTTAGCCGCACGTCTCTAAAGATGGCTAAACCCGAATGTTTCTAGTTCTAGATCCAGTGATAGTTCAAATGCTAGTATTAGTCCTTGTCTTAGTTGTTATTCAGCATTAGATTGTTGTATATGTTTCATTGAACTAAAACTAGAACTAACACTAGATTCTACATTCTGCTTTAGCCATCTTATGAGACGTACGGCTAAATCCGAATGTTTCTAGTTCTAGATCTAATGTTAGTTCTAATGACAGTGCAAGTATAAAATTAGAACTAACACTATACCTAGAACTAGAATCATTTGGGTTTAGCCGCACGTCTCTAAAGACGGCTAAACCCGAATGATTCTAGTTCTAGGTATAGTATTAGTTCTACATAGTAACATTGCTAGTGTACAACTAGAACTAACACTAGACCAAGAACTAGAATCATTCGGCTCTAACCGTCTTATGAGACGTACGGCTAAACCCGAATGTTTCTAGGTATAATGTTAGTTCTAGTGACAGTGTAAGTGTAAAACTAGAACTAACACTATACCTAGAACTAGAATCATTTGGGTTTAGCCATCTTTACAGACGTGCGGCTAAACCCAAATAATTCTAGTTCTAGGTATAGTGTTAGTTCTACATAGTAACAGTGCTAGTGTAAAACTAGAACTAACACTAAACCTAGAACTAGAAGTATTCGGGTTTAGCCGCCTTAAGAGACGTACAGCTAAATACGAATGTTTCTAATTCTAGGTGTAGTGTTAGTTCTAATGCTAGTGTTAGTTCTAGTATTAGTTGAAGATGTACCTATGAAATAACGAACATTTTAAAGCAAATTTAATGAAGGTTTATGGCACTTCAATAAACAATTTCATATAAATAATAATACAATCTCATATAAATAATAATACAATCACTGTTTGATTGTTATAGAATTGAACATAAAACTTTAGAAAATCATATCTCGAGAATGAATTGAGATATAACAATGAAATAAAGAACATTTTAAAGCAAATTTAATGAGGATTTAATGTGCCATAAATAATTTCTTACTTTACACAAACATCGCTAATATCAATTTTTAAATCAAACCGTTTATAAACCAAAAAGACATTAAAGAAAAATGTAGGTATCTCAAATTCTATATCGATTATGTTACCGAATATTTATATCACGGAAATTATGAGATAGCCTTCATCGCTGTGCGTTGATCTACATAAACCGATTTTAATAATAAAAATTCAGTTGGTAGTTGAAAGAGGTTAAAAATGAAGGATTTTCAAAAAATCGAACAAGGTTTATTTTTGGAGATATAAGAAAAATTTTGTTACCGAATTAAAGATTAAATCATCCTCTTTAAGATAGTATATACTAATTAGTTTTATTCTTAAATAATTATCTAAAAAAATGGCATTTTACGTAAAAATTTGTGTGGGTTTAAAAAATTAGAGATTTTTAAAAAATCGCATAATATTTATTTTTGGAGATATAACAAAGATTTTTACACCAATTTGAACATTAAACCCTCTACTTTAAGATAATATATACCAACAAGTTTTAATATTAAATAATTATCTCAAAAAGATGATAATACAAAGATCACATTTTACGTTAAAATATGTATACATTAAAAAAATTAGGAATTGTTAAAAAATCGTACAAGGTTTATTATTGGAGATACAAAAAAGATTTTGGCACCAAGTTAAACATTAAATCTTTTTCTTTAACATGGTATATATCACCAGGTTTCAATATTTTACAATGATCTCAAAAAGAATCATAATACAAAGATAACATTTTGCGTAAAAATTTGTATGGGTTTAAAACATTAGGAATTTTCAAAAAATCGTACCATGTTTGCTTTTAGAGATATAAGAAATATTTTGACGAAAAATTAAACATTAAATCTTCTTCTTTAAGATGATGTATGCTATCAGATTTTAATTTCAAAATTAGTGTTTGAAGAATGTGATTATAGTAGATTTTATGAAAACAAATTTAAGGAGTCGTATCTCAAGAACAAATTGAGATATCATGATCAAGTAACCACCATTTTAAAGTAAATTTGATAGAGATACTCCAATACTCCAAGAAATATTTTGTTTTGCATTGGCATTTTTATGATTTTCCACACAGAAACTTTTTATGTTCTTCTAAGTGTTTGTTTAAATTGTATCTCAAGAATTAATTACGGTATAACGCTGAAATAATAAGCATTTTAAGGCTAATTTATTGAAGATTTAATGTGGAGTAAGTCGTTTCTTATTTTCCACAAACATCACTGTTAAGATTTTTTGTTTCAACTTTACATCTTTATTTACATTTAAGAACAGAATTTAAAAAATCGTATCTCATAAACGATTTGAGATATAACGATCAAATAACAAACATTTGAAAGCAAATTTAATGAAGATACAATGTGGCATAAATTATTTCTTATTTTCCATAAACATCGTTGTTATGGCTTTGTAATCCCAACTCTGCTTGTTTTATTGTTGGAAAATGTAATATGGAATTTCAAGAAATCGTATCTCATTAACGAATTGAGATATAACAATGAAATAACGAACATTTTGAGGAAAATTTAATGAAGATTTAATGTGCCATAAATAATTTCTTATTTGCCATAAACATCGCTGTTATGATTTTTTGTTCCATCTTTGCGTCTTTAGTTACATTTAGAACAGAATTTAAAAAAATTGTATCTCATAAACGATTTGAGATATAACGATCAAATAACAAACATTTTATAGGAAATTTAATAAAGATTTAATGTGCCATAAATTATTTCTTATTTTCCATAAACATCGTTGTTATGACTTTGTAATCCCAACTCTGCTTGTTTTATTGTTGGAAAATGAAATATGGAATTTCAAAAAATCGTATCTCAAGAACGAATTGAGATATAACAACGAAATAACGAACATTTTAAAGGAAATTTAATGAAGATTTAATGTGCCATAAATAATTTCTTATTTTTCATAAATATCGCTGTTATGATTTTTTGTTCCAACTTTGTGTCTTTATTTACATTTAAGAACAGAATTAAAAAAAATTGTATCTCATAAACGATTTGAGATATAACGATCAAATAACAAACATTTTAAAGGAGATTTAATAAAGATTTAATGTGCCATAAATAATTTCTTATTTTCCATAAACATCGCTGTTATGATTTTTTGTTCCAACTTTGCGTCTTTATTTATTTACATTTAAGAACAGAATTAAAAAAAATCGTATCTCATAAACGATTTGAGATATAACGATCAAATAACAAACATTTTAAAGGAAATTTAATAATGATTTAATGTGCCATAAATAATTTCTTATTTTCCATAAACATCGTTGTTATGGCTTTTTAATCTCAACTCTGATTGTTTCATAGTTAGAAAATGAAATATGGAATTTCAAGAAATCGTATCTCAAGAACGAATTGAGATATAACAACGAAATAACGAACATTTTAAAGGAAATTTAATGAAGATTTAATGTGCCATAAATAATTTCTTATTTTCCATAAACATCGTTGTTATGATGTTTTAAAACCCAACTTTGTCTGTTTCATTGTTATAAAATTAAATGTAGAATTTGAAAAAATCGTATCTCGAGAACGAATTGAGATATAACAATGAAATAACGTACATTTTAAAGCAAATTTAATGAAGATTCGATGTGCCATAAATAATTTCTTATTTTCCATAAACATCGTTGTTATGATTTTTTAAACCCAACTTTGCGTGTTTCATTGTTATAAAATGAAATATAGAATTTGAAAAAATCATATCTCGAGAACGAATTGAGATATAACAATGAAATAAGGAACATTTTAAAGCAAATTTAATGAAGATTTGATGTGCCATAAATAATNATAAATTTAATGAAGATATTTTCTTATTTTCCATAAACATCGTTGATATGATATTTTAAACCAAAAACAAGCCAAAGACTACACTTTAATTTTGATTATGAGAAGAAATCTTTTTTAACATAATATATAACATACAATTTCAATTTTATAAGTATTTGCGAATGTCATAATTCGAATAATATTACATGTTTATAAAAAAGGAAACGAGAGATATTGTATCTGTGGAGTTGTCACATTTCAGAGAACTCACAATTCAAAAAAGCCCACCCTTATACGATTTGAAAACCGCCCAGTTCTCCCCCCGTTAACAAGCGGATGGGGAGTTTCGCCCTCCTCATTTTTCCCCCTTTTCTACTAGAGTAGGACGCCCGGGGAAAACTCGTGAAGCAAAATGGCGGCGTTGAACCCTCGCGGGCGGAAAACGAGGGGGTGGAAAAAGACGAGAACTCAGAATCGGCCTTCGGGGGCAACGACGGCTCGGTAATTGGAGAGTTCCTGCCTTGATTTATATCTTCTCGGGGCAAACGAAAAAATCCCCCTTCGTTCGTTCGAGTCTCGAACAACCCTCCCAAGACTTTCAACCCTCTTTCCGAGATTGAAAAATATCGGTATTGATTATTACGTTTTCTTAGGAATATTTTTTTTCTTAATTAACGTGGATTTGAAATGTTCAAAAAAAATGTTTTTTTTGAGTATCTTCGAAGGTTATCGACCCGGGAACGTTGAAACATAACGGTTTTAAAACAATTGAAAACAAATGAGATCTCTTTGGTGAGTCGAGAATGGAATGGAGGTTGGTATACCTTGTGAGAGGAACAAAACAAAGCTCGCGGTACGATTTCGTCGATTCACGAGAGATCGGCGGGCTGTCGTCGTCTGGGGGCCACTTTTTGCTGCGGTCGCACAGACGGCCATGTCCGAGACGCTAACAAATGATAATGGGCAGCTCGGCATCTCGGATGGCCGTGCGAACGGGAGCCCGACTATTATCGCCACATTTATTTTATTGTTATTAATAGAGCTTGCTGTGAACCTCTTCTTCCCCATCACTTTCGTTCGTTCTTCACTTTTCACTTTTACGCCTCGATTCGTTACGTACAAATAGGTTTTAACCCTGAATTTAATTTTTATTATTAAAATAAACACAGTAAAACCTCGATATAACGGATTAAACACGGAAGAGTTATATCAATAATTTTAATACATACAAAATGGGACAGCTAAGGATAGCCAAGAACGATAGAATCTAAGAGGACTGCTACATTCCACAGCTCGAAGGCCCGTTCGTGACGTCAGCGTCAAAATGGACAACTTTGTTTTTAATAAAATCAGTTAAATCTAATATTAAGTATATCATCTATCGATAGACTTTTATAAATGTTGTTAGCCTATAAGGGAAAATGATAAGAATAACAGTAAATATGCCTAACACAACAAATTATTTATGGCACATTAAATCATCCTTAAATTTGCTTTAAAATATTCGTTATTTTATTATTATAGCTCAATTCGTTCATGAGATACGATTTGTTTAAAATTCTATATTCGATTCTGTAACAACACACAGAATTGGGTTTGAAAAATCATAACAACGATGTTTATGGAAAATAAGAAATTATTTATAGCACTTTAAATTTTCATTAAATTTGCTTTAAAATCCACTTCATTTCATTGTTATATCTCAACTTATTCTTGAGATATGATTTTTTTAAATTCACATTCATTTCATGACTATCTATCACACAAGCAGTGATGGGTTTAAAAAATCATAACAACGATGTTTATGGAAAATAAGAAATTATTTATGGCACATCGAATCTTCATTAAATTTGCTTTAAAATGTTCGTTATTTCACTGTTATATCTTAATTCGTTCTCGAGATACGATTCTTTTAAATTTTATATTCAATTTTATAGCAATTAAACAAGCAGAGTTGGGCTTAGAAAAGCATCACAACGATGTTTATGGAAAATAAGAAATTATTTATGGCACATCAAATCTTCATTAAATTTGCTTTAAAATGTTCGTTATTTCACTGTTATATCTTAATTCGTTCTCGAGATACGATTCTTTTAAATTTTATATTCAATTTTATAGCAATTAAACAAGCAGAGTTGGGTTTAGAAAAGCATCACAACGATGTTTATGAAGAATAAGAAATTATTTATGGCGTATCAAATCTTCATTAAATTTGCTTTAAAATGTACATTATTTCATTATTATATCTCAATTCGTTCTCGAGATATGATTTTTTTTAATGCTATATTTCATTTTATAACAATGAAACACGCAGAGTTGGGTTTAAAAAATCATAACAACGATGTTTATGGAAAATAAGAAATTATTTATGGCACATAAAATCTTCATTAAATTTGCTTTAAAATGTTCCTTATTTCACTGTTATATCTTAATTCGTTCTAAAGATACGATTCTTTTAAATTTTATAGCAATTAAACAAGCAGAGTTGGGTTTAGAAAAGCATCACAACGATGTATATGAAGAATAAGAAATTATTTATGGCGTAACAAATCCTCATTAAATTTGCTTTAAAATGTACATTATTTCATTATTATATCTCAATTCGTTCTCGAGATATGATTTTTTTTAATGCTATATTTCATTTTATAACAATGAAACACGCAGAGTTGGGTTTAAAAAATCATAACAAAGATGTTTATGGAAAATAAGAAATTATTTATGGCACATCGAATCTTCATTAAATTTGCTTTAAAATGTTCGTTATTTCACTGTTATATCTTAATTCGTTCTCGAGATACGATTCTTTTAAATTTTATAGCAATTAAACAAGCAGAGTTGGGCTTAGAAAAGCATCACAACGATGTTTATGAAGAATAAGAAATTATTTATAGCACATCAAATCTTTATTAAATTTGCTTTAAAATGTTCGTTATTTCATTGTTATATCTCAATTCGTTCTCAAGATATGATTTTTTTTAATTCTATATTTCATTTTATAACAATGAAACACGCAGAGATGGGTCTAAAATGGGTTTGTGGAAAATAAGAAATTACTTATGGCACATTAAATCTTCATTAAATTTGCTTTAAAATGTACGTTATTTAATTGTAATATCTCAATTCGTTCTCAAGATACGATTCTTTTAAGTTCTATATTCAATTTTATAGCAATTAAACAAGCAGAGTTGGGTTTACAAAAGTATCACAACGATGTTTATGAAGAATAAGAAATTATTTATAGCATATCAAATCTTCATTAAATTTGCTTTAAAATGTACGTTATTCCATTGTTATATCTCAATTCGTTCTCGAGATATGATTATTTAAAATTCTATATTCAATTCTATAACAATCAAACAAGCAGAGTTGCGTTTAAAAAAGCATAACAACGATGTTTATGAAAAATAAGAAATTATTTATGGCACATCAAATCTTCATTAAATTTGCTTTAAAATGTTCCTTATTTCATTGTTATATCTCAATTCGTTCTCGAGATATGATTTTTTCAAATTCTATATTTCATTTTATAACAATGAAACACGCAGAGTTGGGTTTAAAAAATCATAACAACGATGTTTATGGAAAATAAGAAATTATTTGTGGCACATTAAATATTCATTAAATTTGCTTTAAAATGTACGTTATTTCAGTGTTATATCTCAATTCGTTCTCAAGATACGATTCTTTTAAGTTCTATATTCAATTTTATAGCAATTAAACAAGCAGAGTTGGGTTTAGAAAAGCATCACAACGATGTTTATGAAGAATAAGAAATTATTTATAACGTATCAAATCTTCATTAAATTTGCTTTAAAATATACGTTATTTCATTATTATATCCCAATTCGTTCTCGAGATACGATTTTTTTAAATTTTATATTCAATTCTATAACAATCAAACAAGCAGAGTTGGGTTTAAAAAGGCATAACAACGATGTTTATGAAAAATAAGAAATTATTTATGGCGCATTAAATCTTCATTAAATTTGCTTTAAAATGTTCCTTATTTCATTGTTATATCTCAATTTGTTCTCTAGATATGATTATTTAAAATTCTATATATAATTCTATAACAATCAAACAAGCAGAGTTGAGTTTAAAAAAGCATAACAACGATGTTTATGAAAAATAAGAAATTATTTATGACACATCAAATCTTCATTAAATTTGCTTTAAAATGTTCGTTATTTCATTGTTACATCTCAATCCGTTCTTGAGATACGACTTTTTAAAATTCTATATTTCATTCTATCACCATAAAACAAGCACAGACGGGATTATTTTCCATAAAATGGGTTGATGGAAAATAATAATATATGGGATATGATTTGATTAATTATTTATCTTAATTCATCGTTTTTAACATTAAAAATTCTTATAATTTCGGTTCTCATAAAAGTTTGAAACTAGTTGGGAATTGTTTTCGTTCCGGAAACGAGAACGTGGTAATTTCGGTTAATTTCTGTCGGCTCTTCTTTTTTGTCGGCCTCTCAGAATTAATAACTTAATAATAATTCCATTACTAGAACCCGATTGTTATTCATAGGCATTTGATAAGGAACGCCCGAATTAGTCGCTTTCAGTTTACCATTTTTTCGGAATGATTTATGTGTTCTCCCCTCGACGTGCGTGACCGCTAATAACGGGTTATTTTAATTTTAATCAACCGTTGGAGGCGTTACTAAAGCGCACAAATTATAAATGACAATTTTCTTTTTAGATTTAGATTTAAATTTCTCCGGAATAATTTTCACTCGCTTTAAAACAATTAGGTTGCACGGAAATTAATGACACCATGTCTAAATAAACTAATTTCACACGACAGGTAACAATTTATCAAGTGAGAAAGCTTCCAAAGTCTGAAGTTTCTCTCTACTATATACTCCAATTGGCCAAAAATAACTTTTAGATAACTGCACTATTTGTCTAAGTAAATGTGGCGTTCCAAGCAAGTTAAGACTAATGGTTTCCGAGACTCTCTTAACGTTTGTTCCAAAGCACGCAGGGAGATCGCGGGTCTTAATTTAATTTAAGATCTCCTCTCGGTAAGTTGATTCAAGTTACTTTGTTACTTATCAAACCGAAACGACGATTTTTCAATGTCTTCCTTATCCTTCGTCGAAATCTTAAGTTGAGTTGAGTCTCTTTCCACGCACGGTCAACTGTATAAAACGCGTTGAGAACGGGCGTTCTTTGGCGGGCGTTCTCGTATCTATTTTTGCTAATTACTCGAGACAGTCCCCAAGCTTGGATGAGAAGAAGAAGTCGAGAACGATGAGAAATGGCCTTAAGCCTGAATGGATACGGAAGGCGACGTTAAATTTTCTGGATCGGAATCCAAAAAACAAATAAAACTAAAATTTACTTACTTGTAAAACCCTTTTCGGTAAACCAGTCTTTTGTGATAATTGTTTCAAATCTTTAGCATCCGGATTATGATTGATAGCAAAGTACGATTTCATCGTTCTCAATTGGTGATGTTTAAAGGAGGTTCGCATCCGTTTCGTTCTTTGGTTCGAACCCGGCATCCCAGGGGTACCCGGCGACCTACCAAATGGCATATCCAAATAATCGGAGTTGATATCTAAAAAATAAAAAAATAAATAAATTAAACAAAAAAAAATAATAAAACAAACAATTTATTTTTGTTACACGCAGAACGAATAAACATTTTTGACAACATAAAAACAACACGACGTGAAACGCGCGCGTTCGGTTTTAAAATCAAATATTTGCATTCGAACCGTCACAATTTTTTAGTGTCCCTTTTTTAAAGGGGGGCAATTAAAACCCTGTCACTTTTTTTCGAGCTTCCCATATCACATCGGCTTATTAATAAAACATACGTAAAATGTACCTACATATATGAATATGTATGTATTATGGAGTAGTTTTATTTAATGTTAATTAGGTAGATTTTATGATTCTTTTTAATGAAAAATTTAATTGAAATGATGAAAATCAGTTGTAATTTAAGAGTTTACACGAACCGTTAAAAGATATCAAATTTTCGGATTTATTTTTAAAATGTCGTTAAAGTTATCTCGTTATAGAGTTTTGGGGGAATCAAAAAATTAATAATATAGCTATTTTTAAATTTTAATAAATATTGTATTTTAAAATGATTCGTTATTGACACAGCATTCTAATTTAACTAATATCTCCTTAACAAAACTACCGAGCATATTGCAACATACACGTATATACAATATCTGTGCTTTACTGAATCTTCAGATAACGAGAAGGGCCACCTTCCACCTCTTATCACGCTCAGTTGGAGCAAAATAATGCTTCCATATTGGCAAGGCCTTTACCCATACATAGTTGATCAAAGAATATTACACCCACACTTAAACATACAGAGGATCGAGAGCAAGTTCCCTATCGCAAAATATCCTTTATTGCAATCCTATAAGTAATACCTACAGTTAACTAGTTCTAACCAATTTCCTTGACAACTTGAAATATGTTCAATTTCAAGTCTTACTCCGAAATTAAAATTAAAGTTACAAAAGAATTTAACAAACCCTCATCATCACCACACAAAATGCCTAAGAACAAAAAACCTTAACCACATTGGAGACTGATACTAAGCAATTTACTTCATGTCAGCTATAGTCCCAACAATGACACTTTTAATACACCTCCGTAAGTTGTCCTGATTTGGCTGAATTTTTTTTACTAGAAGCCTATATCATTATTTCGCCTGTAGCCCAAAAGCTCGACGAAGTTCTTGTCATCAACATAAATCATCATGCTCTTGGCTCTACAACTCGTTGTAAACCTTGGCTTGCCTTAACAGTTCTTTACAAAGTTGTCTATCTATCTATCAATATATGCAGCTGTTGTCTTCAACCCCTGACCTTCAGCCTTGATAAGTCCTCCACCACATCGTCCACAAATCGTTTCTTCAGCCTCCCTATCAATCTTCTAACCACAGATTCAACGATAATTCTTGTGATTCTTTTTGTTTTCATTCTGGGTACATAGCAATATAGAAGATCGCTGGAATATCTCTGGTTTGCAATATAGAAGATACGACTCGCAGTATTACTACCATGCCAGACACCGTTGTCATTAACAGCACCATATATCTTTCTAAGCACTTTTCTCTAGAATTTCCTTGAGACCTGTTAGTTTTTCTGTACTACGCTCCATGTTTTTCAACCTAGTATGTACTGGTCGTATTAGCGCTTAGGTATGAAATATGTTTTTAACCCCATGAAAGCAATTGTTAGCTTGGACTTATTTACTGAACAAACTTTTAATTATTGATCAGGGATCCCAAGTATACGAAACTGCTAACCGTATCTATATTGTCATCCCCAACTTCCTCATGTTCTGGTATGTTTACACCGCCAGCTTTTGCCATCATAAATTTGGTTTTTGTAAAATGTATCTTCTTTGGGATTTGTTTTCAACCTTGTAAAAGCCTTCTTCAACTCGTTTTCGGGAGTCAAAATCTGCGTTGACTTGTTAAATATTGTTACAGATGTTCGGAGTACTGCATCGTTTACTACCTTTTCTAAGGCAATGTTAAAAAGCAGACATGACAGCCCATCTCCCTGTCATAAACTTTCAAATAAATAAAAAACTCTTCTTGATAGATCTCCTTGTATTATGACTTTACAGGAAACCTTCCTGAGAGTTAAACGTATCATTACTACCAGATGAGGAGGTGTGTTGATTGCTATGACTGTTGATGTCGTATGGGCAGGTGAAGTTATATGGTCTACGACTTCTTTTACGTATGGTTGAAGTTCATCAAATACTATACTCGATGGCATATGCCACATTCAGTAATATGATCCCCATATTATATGGGGATTCTACATTTCTTATTGTATGAGGATCATATTACTGAATGTGGTCTATATTGAAATTATATGTAATCGTAGAAGTTGACGATTCTGGGTAAAGACAAGAAAGCGCTGTGAACGGGAGGTCATTTTCTGGCACATTACTGTTTGATGATACGCGCTGCAGATTTTCTTCACTATACAAGCTCTTGAGTATATTGGATCACTAGCTAAACATAACTAGTTTAGCCTATTTTCATTGGATTTCCAAACACTGTTTCGTAGTTTCGTATGATGAACGTTTAATACCTTCATAATAAGCTATATACTACTTTTCATTACTTGAACAAATCTTAGAATTAGAGATCAGTTACTGCTCTTATTGCTGTACATGTATCCATGTTATGACCATGTCTTGAATATCAAAATTAGCACGTTCGACAAGTTTTATATCACTTCACAAAGAACAAAGTTTGCTATCACAGTATATACATTCCCTCCCATTATCAGAATGTAACATATTAAGTACTCCAAATTAGGTGAATGTGTCAACCACATATATTAAGTCAATTTGACAGCTGGAGTTCAATTGCAGTTCCTTTTTTGAGCATGTTTTTCGCAAGATCCACATAACATGGTATTTGTGATTAGCATCTTTCAGTATTCTGATCCTGCCATCATTACCAGTTGTAAAATAAGCTTCATGTATGATTGTGATGAATGTCTTGTGAGTCTGCAAACACTCGAACAATGTGTCAACACCATTCACCAGTCCTCATCCATTTTCATTGGTAAATCATCCAAGATGCAAGATGCTCTTAATAATAAACAGACTCCATGATGGCTCTGAGATTAACACATGCGTGTTAAGTACATCACATCGAAAATGTGTTAGATTATTCTTTGTTCTGGAGGTCAGGGATATCAGTGATATGTATGCAAGGGACAATGTGCGTGTTGGTCTGACAAGTCAAAGATGACAATGAAAAGAGAACGCAATTATATAAGATAACACCCTTAATAAAAATATTGAATAAGAATTTCTTAGTCTCGGAGGAAATTGATCAGTGGATGAAAGCGTGGTTGCAATCAAAGGCCTGAAGCAATATATGCTGTTGAAACCAATAGAAGCTGTTGCAAGTGCTAAGACGAGATACTTTCAACAATTTTCCACATATGAAATGTTTCTAGGTGAGTTATTCTCAATCTTCCAAATCGTTCGAAGAAAAAAATTACTGCATCTTCTTCGATAAGTTTTTGTACAATATGATCCTAACAAGTAAGACTTAGAGGGCCAGTTATAGGCAGTGAAAGTGGACTTCTAAAGAAGAGCAGCCGGCAAAATCAAAGAATCTCAAAAACAACGATGCAGTGAAGTCCAAAGAAGATCTAGGAGACGTCCAAAAACTACTCGGGGCATCGGAAATTCGAAAGACGATGTCCGAATAGATCTTGGGGCATCAAGGAGATTGCAAAGACTGCAAAGGCTGGAAGTTGGCATATATACAGGGTGTGTCAAATGTCTGGAATATAGCCAATAACTTCGGCATATGTGGTTTTAAAGAAAAATGTTTCAAATAAAAAATTCTTTATTAATTGTGGAGCATTTTTTTTGGCGATACTTGCTTATTTATACTGTTCTTTGTTTCGTTGCTATGGCAACCAACATTGTTATTTTAAATGGGATGCATATTTTGATAGAAGATAAATCCCTCTACGCGATGAACATATCAAATCATATGGTTGTATTAGAAAAAAATCGAAAAAAAATGCGTTCTCTGAAAATATTAAATCAGCAAATTACAATCAAAGTAGGCGCCGAAATAACGATATTGACAGCTTTAAATGTCAAAAAATTGACAGTTTAAACAAATATGGCGCAATTAAGCGAACGACAAAGAATCCAAATATTAATAATGTATGGGTACGGTGCAGGTGATAGAAAACGCACTTAAAATTACACAATCCACAGTATCCAAAATATTAAAAAAAAATTTATAACACCAGAAGTGTTAAAAACCTTCCAAAAAGTTGATGGCCGAAGACAGTTACCAATGACCATACATTATTAATTATTCATAATTGTTGAAACTCTAATTTTTTTGACATTTAAAGCTGTCAACGGCGTTATTTCGGCGCCTACTTTGATTGTAATTAGCTGATTTAAAAGACTTTCAAAAAACGCATTTTTTCTTTTTTTTTTGAAACAAAAAACAATACAAACAAGCAAATATCGCCAAAAAAATGCGCCATGATTAATAAAGAAACTTGCATTTGAATCATTTTACTTTAAAACCACAAATGGCTAAGTTATTAGCTATATTCCAGACATTTGACACAGCCTGTATATAATATATACAGGGTGAGTCGTGAGGAACGGACCACACTTGAAAATATAGTAAAAAAACTCATATGTTGTTATCCGATTTTCATTTTTTTTTTTTCATTTTCGACAAGAGGTCTTAGTCAACGAAGCCGGAAATGTTTAGAAGTTAATGGCGATTTTCGAATAATTATTAAAATAACGCTGATGATTAATATTTAATGTTAATGTATAATATTTTGTTTAATTGTAGTTATGCAGTAAGAGTTATACAATAAAAAAAAAAGAAAATCGGATGACATATCAGTTTTTTTACATTATATTTTAGTGTACAATACACTCTTAAAGTCCGTTCCTCCCGACTCACCCGGTATAAGATGTAAGAGATTAATATACAGGGTGTCTCACGTAACTGGTTAGTTAGAACTTTTTCAGGTTCCACTATTCGTAGAGATTTGAAAT